ATTGTGCTCTTGACAGAGCTCATCAACGAACATTACATCTCCCCCCGACACTTCGATGAGGTATAAAGTGGAAGAGACGAAGAAGAAGAAGAAGAAGAAGAATTTTTTGTTATTTGAAGCCCCACTCTGGCTTTTGCCAGGGGCCGAAATATAGGCAGGCCATAAATATGGCCAATTGCCTGAACGCGGTTTCTGGGACCTCTCCATGGCGACCCTCATCTACATGGTGGCACTTAGTGTTATCGGGTGTTTATCGCTTGTGCGATGTCCTGGTGGGGTAGAAAGTCAGTCAGTCAGTCAAACCAAAGATAGTGCACCCGGACCAGACAGAGTTGGGATAGTTCTATGAGAAGTTTATGCAATGAGGAGCGTGGGGGAATGGCGTCGTGTTTCAACAGTATTGCAGCAGTGTCTATTCCAACCAATTGGCTGCATAGTTACCTTATACTACTACCGAAGTCAAATAATGGCCCTGCAAATGTAATGGTTATATAATTATTATCTTAGGGAATACGATCGATTCTTGAAAAGATATGGTAGGCAAATTACTGGATTACCTTGAAAAACATATACTCTTACCGAGGGGGTTAAAAAGTTATCGGCCAATAAATAAAACTTGGGAAATCGCCGCAATCCTGGCTCACGATGTATATGAGGGGTTTCAACATAAATGAAACAGTGGCGGTGGCACTGGACTTAGAATATGCATATAACAGGGTTAGATATGACGATTTACTGTACACACTTATAGATATAGAGGTCAGTCCCAGGATCGACAGATGGATTGCAGTAGTCCTGTATGAACAAAACTGCCATTCGCCAAGTGTGTTCTTTGAATAATAGAATTGTTAGAGATATGTTGCAGCTATCCAATGGCTTGAGAACAGCACAGTCCGACATGCCGTAATTGTAAGAGACTTACAGAGCATCTTTGGAAATTGAAACTGTTGTCCTCTGCGCAGAGTGGATTGCATCGCTTGATAAGACACGGACCAGGAAATCGTGGATTTTCTGTCCATGAGATTCAGGAGTACGAGGTAATGAGCAGGCTGACAGATAAGCTGCTGCCGCCCCTCTGTGGATGAGCTACTGTATGATAAGCGGCAGGTATACAAAGAGATACAATTCACTAAATTACTAAGTGGAAAGGGTTGTTCTGAAGATAAGGAAAGGACTCAATGCTTTGAAGGTGATGGTATACGCGGACATGGGACATAAAATGCTCTATACACTTTACCAGAAACTGATTTTTTCGCTGATGAAGTATGGTTTAGGACCGCTAACATTATCTCATACCCAATTAGAGAAGGTGGAACGCATGCAAAATGAAGCCATGCGAGTCATTTTGGGATGTACACGAGACACGCCAGTTGTGTGCATGCAACACATAAGCAGCACTCGTAAATGCAAGATACAAGGTTTTACAGGCGAAAATTTGAAGTCGCAACGGACAGACCTTAGGCCTCAGAGGATAGCAAGGAACAACGGCTGAAAAGAGGTGGCTCTTGGATGGCACAGACAGAAGTCACAATCAGAACTGCTTGTGCTACTGAAAAGATAGCGCATGATGAAGTATGGGTAACTGCCGAGAAAAACTGACTTGCACAGTGATAGTTACTTTGGACCGAAAAGGCGGGAAATGGATAGCTGGTGAAACATAGTCAACGGTGCAAGAGTTGATCAATGAAAATTAACGCCCAGATCACATCATAATATATACAGATGGGTCTGTAGGGAGAAGTAAGAACTGTAGGTGGGATTTAATTGCAAAGTGAATGGGCACTGTTTGAAAACAGAGAACCTCGCGTATAACGTCACAACATCTAGTATGAGAATGGAGGTTAAGGCAGTAGCGGCCGCTTTCCAATGGCTTGAGAACAGCACAGTCTGACATATTGTAATTGTAACAGACTCACAGAGCATGCTTTGGAAAATTGAAACTGGGGCTATCCTCCGAATAACTGTCCTAAATTATTGAGGCGCAAAGTAGACCCTAACAGGGCCTCAGTCACGTGTCAATTGCGCACTTCCGCCAGCCCCTAGAGTAGCGGCGTGGATTGGGGCTAAACTAGATGGCTAGGACTCACGAGCAGATAAAATGAAGGAAGCTGCAGGAGATGCAGTAGCTGCTGCTCGTGAGTCCCAGCCATCTAGTTTAGGCCTATTCACGCCGCGTGAACGCCATTGGGATACTTTCGGCGGTGGCGGAAGTCGCCGGAAGTGCGCAATTTAAGACGACGGAAGTGCGCAATTTAAGACGACGGAAGTGCGCAAATAACACTATGACTAAGGCCCTGTTTGAGTATATTTTCCGCCTCGATAATTTAGGACCGTTATTCAGAGGATAGCCGAACTGGTGTCCTCCGCGCAGAGTGGCTTGCATCACTTGATAAGACCGAGATCAGGAACATATCATGGATTTTCTGTCCAGGAGGATCAAGAGTAAGAGGTAACAACAGATTAGCTGCTGTCGCTCCTCTGGGCGATGAGCTACTGTATGATTAAGCGGATGGGGTAAAGGCTTTATGGGATCAAATGGAAACTGCAATAGAACAGATAGAGAATACATACACTGAGAGACTAATTCAACCGGGAGAAGGGGGGGGGGGGAGGGAGGTTCTGGAGGATGTTTAAAATTGAGGGGAAAACAGAGGCGGACTTTAAATTAGGTTTCAAATTTCATTATAAGTATGTCGACTCTTCGTTGGCCATTGAAGACGTTGACTAAGCACGTATTAGGACTTTCCCGAGTGCAGTGATATTAATTAATGAGCGTTTATCGGCTGTAAACTTTGACGGGAAGTTCTGGTTGTACATCAACTTCTAGACATTCGTTCCACAGTTATATTTTTGCACATCACTTTACAGATCTAGCTTATGTGTATACATAATGCTGGTTTCTCGCACATCAAGCGGATGTAGACAGGTTATGAAAAAACCCTATAATAAGTCGCCTTTTACGCCATGCTTGTTAGGAGGCAGAAGTCATGTAACCCCCACCCCAGTCTTATGAGGCTTTGGAAAGAAAGCACAACAGATAAATGAATGAAAACATGAATGACGTTAGACATCAACAGGACCGCACTACGAGGAATTAACACCCGGTGAACCAAAATGCCACCATTAGGATGAAGAGCAGATGGGTACAAGTTTCAGAAACCCCGTTCAACCGTTACATCAGGGCCCCCGACAACAGCCGGGGGTGGGACATTCGAATAGAAAAAAAAAACTGCCTCCCGTATCAGGGCTAAATTAAAATGAAAAACGCAGTAGTAGTAAATTTTACCCCACCAGGAGATCACACAGAACGATAAATACCAGGTGACACAAAGTGCCACCATGCGGATGAGGATCACCCTTGGAGAGGCCTCAGAAACCGCGATCAAACGCCAGGCTATATTGCGGCTCCGGGCAAAAGCCGGGGTGGGGCATCAAAATAACGGAAAATTGCGTCCCACAAGGGGACGACCTTGGCGAGTAATAATAATACGTACGTAAAGGTAAAGTCGGAAGATCTGAACCAGCGTCATTGCAAACGGTTATAAACCATAAGTGCTCTACCACCAGTACGGACAGCTGATAAGAAACTGTCCGCCTGTGTCGCCGTCTGCATGCAACTCCGTATCTACAGCGACGTTCCTCCATTTACCCCAGAGTGTTAACTCTGGTACTCATTATCTAGAAGCTGGGTGAACCCCGGGAACCGCCCCGTTTCGAACACCGGCCGTCGGCTGCAGCGAGTCGCAGCTGGATTTGAAATACGTAGGAATCCAGTTTATTTGTTACGGGAACGTAAAATCAAATCAAACACAACATTTGATCACTACTTTGTTGTCAACAACCCCTGAGCAACATGGCAAGACTTCTCCATTCTGGGTAGGATATCAATATATAATGGCTTTTTACGCTGGCTCGGGACATAGACACATGGGAGTCTTGAACTTGAGCAGTTAGAGGCGCATGACTTGTGCGGTCGTTGAGAACTGGCCAGGTTATGATTTTTATTTTTATTCCTTTCCCTTAGATAGGAAAGAAATTACTATTAGTTAGGCACAAAAGTTACTTCACTGATTCCAACTCGACTCATTGAATTCTCATTCGGGTCTTCCGAAAAAGAACTTGGCGTATTAGCAGTATTACAACTGCTGGAAGTACACGCTGTGGACCAACTGCTTCTAACTAGTATAACGAGTTTAACTGCTACTTATTGCAGTAAATAGGAATAATACTTACAGTAGAAATCAATCACAGGCATCAAAGTCTCAGGCAAAAACAGTTGCCATCATTGATTATTTTTGGGGGCCATAGATGTAAAAGTCACAGGTGTAGAACTTTTCAAGGAGTATATAGATACCATTTTTTTTTTAGGAAAGAAGACCTACCCACTGGTAAGTGCATATTGTCACCTTGGATGAGTCTGTCTAGAGGAAGTTGACATCACACAAAAAGTTTGGTGTATTGATCTCTGAGGGGCATAAATAAATGTCATTGAAAGAGAAATGAAAATGTCTATTAATCTAACTTTTTCTTATCTTCCTTTTCACCCTTTTCTTCTTCATCTTTTTCTTAAATGTTCAACCTGAAACTGATGATTGATGTGTCGTGTTTAATTTGCCTATGCTACCTCAGTCTGTTTTTATGTATGTTTGTTGCTTTTTTAAATCCATACGTTGTTTTATGAAAGCTGATGGACAGTGTGGTTGCAATTTTCTGTCTGTCTATCTCCCTCTTCTTTCTGTCAAACAATTTGTTACCCTCTCACTTATATAACATTATTTATCCCTTACCTTATCCCACTTTTCCCCCCAACCTAATTGATCACAGCAACCACTCACACTCCACATGTGGCTCCTTCTGTCACTAACTCTCACTTTCCCTGTCATCTGCTTAAACATATGTAGATTCAAAACTACCTAAATATCCCCTTTTCAATCTTTTCACAGGTCATCTGGCAGTCAGGGCATCCATCAATGCTAGCTGATTGATCTGTCTGTTCGTGCATGATGGCTTTCATTAAGTTAATTGTTGGAAAGCTTAGAAGGCAGTGGATAACTTTTAAAATGTCATTTTATTATGGCAAATGGTCATTGCGACGTAATGTCCGATTCTTCTCTGTCTTATCAGTGTTGGGACTGAGTATATTTGTTTTGTGTAAGTGTTTTACAATATTTTTCATTATATTATGCTTAAATATGTATATGGTTAATGAATTGCTTTGCAAACAGTTAGTCGGAGACATCGAATTAGCTCTATCCATTACAAGCCTTTGTAACACAGAGGGCATGCAGCGGCTCATAAGTGTGATGTGGGGGGGGGGGGGGGGGGGGGGGGGGGGGGGGCTTTAGTGCAGTCGATAGGAGACTGGCTTTCTAATCCAGCTGCAACTCTTTGCAGCTTACGGCCGGTGTTCGAAACTGGGCAGTTCCTGCTGTTCACCCAGCCTCTATGAAATGGGTACCAGAGTTAACACTCTGGGTAAATGTAGGAACGTCGTTGTAGCTACAGAGTTTCGTGTGGACGGCGAAACAGGCGAACAGTTTCTTATCAGCTGTCGGTACTGGTGGCAAAGCACTTATGGTTTATAACCCTGTGCAATGACGCTGTTTCACATCTTCCGACTTTATTTTTTTTTTACCTTTTAAGTATGATGCCTGACTTCACTTCAGAATCACACGTTACCCCCAAAGGACTGCAGGTTACCCTGGGGTGCTGTTGCCTTCACGAGTACCCTCATTATAATTTCCTTCAAGGTTGGGTATTTGGGCTCGCCATGTTGATCTGTCACAAGCGCTGATACTCTTTTAGTTTTACAGTGTGAGACTTTCAGGTCTTTTTGATTTGTCATCCAGATTGATATCTTACAATCTCACGGTGTCAGACTTTTTAAGTACCATCCCAGAGGGGATAAAAGACACACACACACACACACACACACACTCTCCCTCTGCCTGTCTGTCTGTCTGCCTGCATGTCTGTCTGTCTGTCTGTCTGTCTGTCTGTCTGTCTGTCTGTCTGTCTGCCTCATTCTCTCTATCTCTTCAAAAAGTTCTTAGTTCAGATCTCATGCGAAACCATGATAACACAACAGCTTGCCTTCTGTCTGCCTACTTTTAAGGACTTAATGAGAACCTATATTGTGGCAGTTTATATAATTGAGCTTCCAGATCAACCCAGCCTTAAATGGGTACTGGAAAATGTCTTGAGAAATAAAGCCGGCCAGCTGACATGATTTTCACTACATCACCCCTCTCTGTCTGTCTGTCTGTCTGTCTGTCTGTCCGTCTGTCCGTCTGTCTGTCTGTCTGTCCGTCCGTCAGTTTAATTGTCCACATGCACATCCATCCATTCGTCTACCTGTCTATGCCTTTATGTTTGCGTGTCTTTCTGTCCACATATTAATCCAGCCCTACCCTTCACTTTGTGATCTTTTCTCTACAGATTATATACTGTTTACTATTGAGCTGGTACCATGGAACCCCAGAGTGGTAAGTTTGCGATACTTAATCAGCATGTCTTGAGAATTTGGTGGCAGATGGCAAATTTGATAGAAAGAGGGTGAGGTAAGGCAAAAAGTCAAATACCCTAATGGTTTAACTCTTTTAGTACCACGGAATGCATGCTATGTGATCAGCTGTGGCCTTTTAAGAGACCAAACATCGATTTATATGACTTTTCCTGATTTTACTAAAGCAGCTTGGCCTCTTTAGTAGCAGCATCTATACTTTATTTCACTACGACATTGTTTTTTTTTTAAATATTAAAATTGTTTACACTGATAAAAAGTGACTATTTTTGTTCAATACCTCTTGGGGCTAAAAGAGTTAAGCATTGATTGGTTATATTCCTTTGAAGTCGGAGTGCATCTGCCTGAGAGGCGAGGAAAAAGCTTCTTCTTTGTGGTTCACTGGCTGTAAACTCCTGCGGAAAGTTCTGATTTTTCATCCGCTAATGGACTTTGGTCCTATTCCAGAATATGAGTTTTGCAAGAACATCCAATTGACAGATCTGGCTTATTTGTGAGCAGATAGCTGGTTCCTCACCTCTCGGGCAGATGCACTCTGACTCAGAAGGAAGCACCTCTAATTAGTCGCTTTTTACAACATGCTTGTTAATGAGGGCAGTGTGTCTATTCCAACCACACCCTCCCCAATCCAAATTGGGCCCCAGAACCCACGTGGAGAAAAGGCAGATTTCATATCCTATCCACACCACCCCTTGAATATTGAAAACAGTTGTTAATGTTGTTTTGGGTGTGATCAAGTGACACCCATACCAGTGGCTTTCTAGCAAATGCATGAAAGGTATACAGTTGTACCTTGAAATTCAAACACTTCAAAATGTGAACAGTTGAAGTCCAAACAAAATTATCAAGTAAATTTTACCTTGCACCAGGAAGAATGGGAAGTTGGAAGACCTAGCACTGTTTTAATCAAAGATCTTTTCTTCTTCTTCTTCGCGTTCACCGGCTTTAAGCTCCGGCGGAAAGTTCTGGTTGTTCATCCACCTTTGGACTCTAGTTTTGTTCAAGAACCTGAGTGTTGTGTGTACATCTGTTTCACAGGTCTGACTCATTTGTATGCAGACTGTTGGTTCCTTGCCTCTCAGGCAGATGTACTCCATCTTCAAAGAAAGCTCCCAATTAGTCGACTCTTGAGACATGCATTTGAGCAGGCTGTGGGTCTATTCTTGGTTTCCCAACAACAGGGCTTCAGAACCCACACAGGGAAAAGATCTTTTGATCGTGTCGTCAGAAACCTAAAAAAGTTGTTTAAAGGTGGTACCCTGATAGATTCTAATTAACAGATGTATTAGCTTGTTCATTCGTAACATAATCAAACATTTTAGATTATGTTGTCAAATAGTGACAGATCAGGTCTGTAGGCTGAGTATGTGAAAACTCAATTTCTGTGCTAACACTTCTGGCACAATTTTCACAACATGGAGAATGATAATTGCCAAAGAACAGAACCACACTGAAAGCTACTAAATTTTATTATTGAACCGTATCCCTTACCAGCATGAGTGTTAATTTTCCATATCTGCTAGTCTGTTATTTTTCTTCTAGGTTGTCCTTTCTTTTGTCATAAACATTGAATAGGATGTATATCTTTTCAGGACAGATGGTGTGATTATGAGGAGGCGCCGTCTTACATGCTGAGATCAGATCCAGATGAAATGACTGTAGTCACCATGTTTCTTGACCTCGGCTACTTCAAAAAAGGCGAAAGAGCATTTTCCTATCATTCTCCTTACAAATACAAACGATGGATGAGGACTTTTGGTAGAATGGTCAACCGTGTGGTTGCTTACATGGAGAGTGACAGTGATATTGAGTATTTCAAGTCAGTATATTTCAGTATATAGTCAGTATATTCAATGTTTACGTGTTATTCTCATTTTCATGAGTGCTTGTGTTCCTATAAATATTTAATGATGTTTCTTTGGTTTAAAAGCTTCAGCATGACAGATATTTGTCAAGTAAGACTATATATTTCTTAATGATATATATATTTAATGATGTTTGTTCGGTTTAAAAGCTTTAGTGTGACAAATATTTATAAAAGAATACTATATTTCTTTATAATATAAATATTGAATGATGTTTGGTTTAAAAGCTTCAGCGTAACAAATATTTATAAAAGAATACTATATTTCTTTATAATATAAATATTAAATGATGTTTGATTTAAAAGCTTTAGTGTGACAAATATTTATAAAAGAATACTATATTTCTTTATAATATAAATATTGAATGATGTTTGGTTTAAAAGCTTTAGCGTAACAAATATTTATAAAAGAATACTATATTTCTTTATAATATAAATATTGAATGATGTTTGTTTGGTTTAAAAGCTTTAGTGTGACAAATATTTATAAAAGAATACTATATTTCTGTATAAAATAAATATTGAATGATGTTTGGTTTAAAAGCTTTAGCGTAACAAATATTTATAATAGAATACTATATTTCTTTATAATATAAATATTGAATGATGTTTGGTTTAAAAGCTTTAGTGTGACAAATATTTATAAAAGAATACTAAATGTCTTTATAATATAAATATTTAGTGATGTTTGTTTGGTTTAAAAGCTTTAGCATGATAGATACTTGTAAAAGAAAACTATATAATTGCTTGTAGGTATGTATATTTGTTAATATTGTAAATATTAAATATTTGTTTTCTGGTTTAAAAACTTTATCCTGACATATATTTGTAAAAGAAAACTATGTATTTGTTAAAAGTAATATTGTAATATTTATAGCTTATATGCTCTCTTCATCTTGCCTTCTATGTTTATTTGATGACTTCTGTGTGTACCATTTTGTATTTCTTACTCTGCCTTATCTTTTTCTCTAGAATCTATCTCATCCTTCATCTCTGTCTCTCTACTTTTACATCTCATCTCTCCTCCTCATCCTTCTTCTTCCCCTTTTTCTCTCACCACCCCCCCCCCCCTCCTACAATTTTTTAAAGCATATCCACTATTTTGAGCCTGTGGATGTACTTCTATGAAGAAATGTTGCTACCTTTAATTAAACTGACGACAGATACAATAAAAAGTGGCATGAAGACAGTAGTACATCTTATAGTCTTCTCACAGTTGATGCTCTTTAATATGAACTGTTTTACAGGGGCCCTTAAATAACAAAGAATAGTAACATTGTTTGTCTTCTTCTTCTTCTTTTCTTTCTTCTTTTTCTTCTTCTTCTTCTTCTTCTTCTTCTTCTTCTTCTTCTTCTTCTTCTTCTTCTTCTTCTTCTTCTTCTTCTTGGTGTTCCCTACCTGTAAACTCTGATGGAAAGTTCTGGTTGTTCATCCATCTCTGGACTTTGGTCCTGTTCCATAATTTGAGTTTTGCATGCACATCCCTTTCACAGATCTGGCTTATTTGAATGCACACTGTTAGTTCCTTGCTACTCAGGCAGATGCACTCCGACTTTAAGGAAAGATCCCTAATTAGTTTCCCTGTACTACAATGTTTTGGGTTGGGGGTCTCTTCCCCACCTTCTAATTGGGGCCTTATAAGAAACAACTAAGTTTGGCTGCCTAGCTCATCTTAAAACAGTTTAACCAATCGAGAGCTATTGCAGGACTTGGAATGACTTACGGCATGTACTGCATTGAGAGGTGAAAAGTAGAAGAAGAAGCTTTATTGATGAGAAACGGTTGTCTTCCTCCAAGTCATTCATGCTTCTATTTTCTGTTGTATAGATTTGTATACAACAATAAGAAGGAGACAAACGCTGTTCTTTGGCCACGTGATGAGAAAAGAGGCATCGGAAAACATCGGGACAGCTGGAACGATCAGTGGAAACAAGGTTAGAGGCAGATCAAGAGAGATGATGCTGGATGGGCTGAAACAATGGCATGGAGGGATATCATCAAGAGAGCTGTACCAGGCAACCAGGGATCGTGATCTGTGGAGATGCGTGAACACCTACGCCAACTGGCAGGGCACATGATGATGATGATAGTTTTGTTCTGGAAAAAGAAAATACTTTTAATCCTTGACTACTCAGTCATATATTTTCTGATTTGTTTTCCTTCATATGTTTTAAAGAAGTAGTTTATTTTGTTTAAGATAAAGTCTTATCAACATTTTAATCGGTTCTTTTTATATTGTTTTTCAGAGAGGTTAGAGCATGCTTGCCGCCGAGCTACACCAAAATTATTAAAGTTCATAGACATGACTTATCATCTTTTAAACACCTAGCAACAATAAGACATATCTACTCCCGTCCATCTTATCCAAAGCATCATCCAAACACAGTGTATGCTGAGTACTCTTGTGCCATGCATGCTAAATATGATGTATTAGAAAAAGCCTGTGTCGCAGACTATTTCCAAACTCCCTATTTTGCTTGGATTGATGTGGGTCTTTTCCGTAATCTTGATGGCACAGATTACCCACTGTTCAAACTGATACCACCGGAGAAGTTTCACCCAGAAAGGATTGGGCTTTCTCAGGCGTGGCCACTTGATCCCTCTCATTCCCTTGAAGAAATCATGCAGACCAGTTTAGTGTGGGTGTCTGGAAGCATGGTGTTGGCCACAAGAGAGGTAAGTGTTGGTAGGAGAAAAGTATTATCTGTATTGGTGTTTGGCAGTGTTGAGTTCAGTTCAATTAATCCCCGTGGGGGTTCCAGGGCCCATTTTCGGGAAAAACAAGAATAGACCCACCGCTGCCCTAAAAAGCATGTTGTAAGAGTCGACTTATTCGGGGCTTCCTTAAAATTCAGAGTGCATTTGCCTGAGAGGCAAGGAACCAACAATCTGCATACAGTTAAGTCAGATCTGTTAAACGGATGTGCCACAAAACACTCAGGTTCTGGAACAAGACTGAAGTCCAGAGGTGGACAAGCAACCCCAACTTTCTGCTGGAGTTTACAGCCAGTGAATGTGAAGAACAAGTTCAGTTAAGAGCCAACATTATGGCACTCTCTGAACATTCCCATTAGCACTCCTTATGAAGATACATTAGCCCTACATACACAGACACATTGGCACTCCATACAAAGACCCATTAGCACTCCAGACAAAAACCCATTAGCATTCCATACGAAGACCCATTAACACTTCATACAAAGACCAGTAAGCACTCCATTCAAAGACCCATTAGTACTCAACTCGCAGCACTAAGGTTCTGGAACAGGACTACAGTTCGGTAGTGGATGAACAACTAGAACTTTCCGCCAGATTTTACAGCTGGTGAATGCAAAGAAGAAGAAGAAGAAGAATTAGTCACCTTTTACGACATGTTGGAGGGGCAGTGGATCTTTGTACCCGCTCAACCCACCCACCCAAGGGTCCCAGAAGAACCCATACAGGGATAGTTGTGGTTGTTAATTCTTTGGAAGACATGTTTAACTAAAACACATCACACTTATGCAGCCTAGAGGGAACACTGAACTACACACACACACATGCCATCTGGATTTGCTAAACCATGTAGGTGTCTTCAAAGGTCCCGGTAGGTTAGCATCCTTTAGATATTTTCTCCAGGTCATGCCAGTGTGTAGGGAAATGAGCCTGCAGATAGTCTGGCTGGCTGTGCACCACTTGGTGGTGAACTGATGTATTATAAGTTAGATATTGTGAGAGCCCTTTGGGAGTGAGTAAACAGTGCAGAGGCGCAGATAGATCATTACGGTCTAAGGAGAATGGCGCTTTGAGGAGTTACCAGGGGATCTGGCTGACGCTCAACACTCAGGGGAAGGATGAGACGGATATTCAATCAGACGGTTACTGGTACCATTGGAACTGGAACTCTTCATTTGCTGCTGAAAATGGGGGACTGAGCACTTATGGAAGTTTCCCGAGTGCTGTGATGTCTTTTCTTAATTCAAAATTCAACATTTGTAGGTATCTCTGTGTGATTGAACCCAATACTTTCACTGCATCTGGCATGGTTAATGCCACTCAGCTGCTGACTGCTCTTCTTCTTCTGCCTTTTATAAAACCAGTACTCTCTGTGGGTTCCAGGATCCCATGGGGGAGGGGGGAGAGGGAATAGATCCACTTTCCCTAACAAGTATGTCATGAAAGTTGACTAATTAGGACGTTTCCTTTGAAGTTAGAGTGTATCTGCCTGAGAGGCAGGAACCAACAGTCTGCACACAGATAAGACAAATCTTTTAAACGGATAGACATGCAAGGCTCAAATTCTGGGACAGAACCACAAAGTCCAGAAGTGGATCTCTTCTTCTTCTTCTTTGCATTTGTTTTTGTATGCTCAGATCAGACCATCAGGTGGGTTGCCTCTATGAACTCGTATGCCAGTAGCAGGTTTTTCATGGTTCCCCATAGCTTGCTCTGCACTTTGCTCTTGAGGCCAGGTATCTTTTAGAAGTTTTAGGTAGAGTGGGCAGGTCTGCAAAATGTGCTCAGGTGTTTGGGGTCCTGTTTGACAAGCACACTGTGGGGACTGTACAGTCTTTATTTTATGCATGTGGTTGAGCCTGCAGTGTCCTGTTCGTAGATGGAAAATTGTTGTAAGTTGCTTTCTGTTGAGTCTGCTGATGGTGTCTTGTGGATGTTTACTCTTAGAAGAAGTGGATGAACACCCAGGAATTTTGCCGGAGTTACAGCCAATTAACGCTATGGAAGGAAAAGGATGAGCTCAGTCAGTGAGTCAAGTGCTGCCTCCAGGTTGGCAGCTGACTAGAACATTGACAACATCACCCAGTGGGTGCCGATTGGTTGATAACAGTATGGGATTAGCACCATATGTCCACCAGGTGTGGAAACGGGTCAAGTTGAGCTCAGAACTGACATCACAGCTCTCTGAAAATTCTGTTAAGCGCATCATTCTCATCTTCAGCAGCTATGTAAGAGTTCCATTGCGGACGTTACGTTTCTTGTCCTTCGCATTATGTTTTATACAGCTGGTAATCTGTTTGTGAGATAATAGCCCTCTATTTTCTTCTGTTCTTCACATTATGTTTTATACAGCAGGTAATCTGTTTATGATATAATAGCCCTCTATTTTCTTGTTCTTCACATTATGTTTTATACAGCTGGTAATCTGTTTATGAGATAATAGCCCTCTACTTTCTTGTTCTTCACATTATGTTTTATACAGCTGGTAATCTGTTTATGATATAATAGCCCTCTATTTTCTTGTTCTTCACATTATGTTTTATACAGCTGGTAATCTGTTTATGATATAATAGCCCTCTATTTTCTTGTTCTTCACATTATGTTTTATACAGCTGGTAATCTGTTTATGAGATAATAGCCCTCTATTGTCTTGTTCTTCACATTATGTTTTATACAACAGGTAATCTGTTTATGATATAATAGCCCTCTATTTTCTTGTTCTTCGCATTATGTTTTATACAGCTGGTAATCTGTTTATGAGATAATAGCCCTCTATTTTCTTGTTCTTCTCATCATGTTTTATACAGCTGGTTATCTGTTTATGAAATAATAAACCTCTGTTTTCATGTTTTCCCCAGCATATGCTGAACTTCACAAAAGATTACAGACAAGCTGTGAAAGAACTACTAGATCAGGGCTTGTCAAACACAGACCAAGAAGTCATTTATGCCATGTACAGTGCCAAGATGCGAAAGCCTCACTATATAAAAGTTAGGCCGTATTTGTGTCACCCAGGGCAGCTGGGACTCTATGGGGCAGACTCTCGATACTTTTGTCTGGGTTACGTGTGCAAAAATGCCTGGGAGAAACGAGTGCCTCATGTGGGCGGAGCTACTGGTTAAAAGTTTTTGACTTGTTATTTTTCCAGTCTAATATGGGAGTAGCTATGGGCAAGACTTCTTGACTGTTCACTTTTGCCATTCCGTGTGTGGGAAGCTGTGGGCTAGAAGTCCTCACTGTTATGTAGTTAGTCCCATGTAGGGAAAGCTACAGGTTAAATGTTTTGACTGTTAACTTTTTTCAGTCCCATATCGGGGAAGCTATAGGTTGGACCTCTTGATTGTTAACTTGTTTCAGTCTTGTGTGGAGGGAATCTTTGGACTGAGCATCCTGTCCATTAACTTGTTCAATTCTGTAAATTAAAAAAATGGGGAAGAGGGCAGCTACATGCTAGAGCTAGATGTCTGAACTGTTATCTTTTTCAGCCTATTAGGTTTTGCAACAGATTCACAAAAGGGAAAATAACCACAAGTTAAAATTCATGAAAGTATTATTTTTAATGGAGCCAGATTCCCAGTAAAAGGGACTCCTGGGGAAGCCAGATTTCTCTCATATGCTCTGGTCAAATGTAAAAAATAAGAGAATATATTATACAGCAGTTGGGATTTAGAAGTAGATCTAATCCTGTCATGCATTTCTTGGGACTGAAAGAGTTAAGAATAACAGGAAAATTATAAATTGTCACAGAAGACTAATCATTCCATATGGCAGCATTTCAGCCGGGTTGATAATTTGGCCCTGTCTTTACCAGATATATAATATGTATTTTTTTGTTATTTTTAATGTGTTTATGAGCAGAATTTATCATGTACGTTATATTGCATATTGTGTGTCTGATGATAAAGTGATGTAAATTTTAAACTTTTTATGAATGAGTGAGTGAATGAATCAGGAATCGACAGCACTGCACTCAGGACATTCCCTCACATGCTCCGTCTCCTTCTTCAGTAACCAAAGAAGAGTTGACATGCTAACAGCACCAGTTGCAACCTGATGAAAAGTTTGCCTCTGTTTCCCCTTCAATGTTGCTGTTTCCCCTTCAATGTTGACTATCTTCCAGAACCTCAACACACACACACCGTTGAATTAGTCTTTCAGTGTATGGATTCCCTATCTGTTTTAATGCAGAATTTGAATGATTGTGTCAGACATAATTGTGAAAAGAGTCTTGGACTCTGGTTTGTGATGAGCAAAAAATAGATGGCCATTCACAGTAGAAAAAACACAAACATTGGAGAAGTATTAAACTCCCCCCCCCCCCCCCCCCATCCTTTTTTCCCCTATCCCTTCCAGGAATTCTGGGGTTTTAATTTCATCATCAAGTGCCTTGCCAGTTGCGAAGGCATTTATGCATATCCACAGATCTTGGTCTTTGGTGTTCTGTATCAGTTCCACTGATGATATTTCTCCATGCCACTATCTTAAGCCATCCACTATCATTTCTCTTGGTCTGCCTCTGCCTTATTTTGGGAGAACAATAACGATACTAATTATGATATGTTGAAATTGGATGTGTTGGGCCAAAAACACGCAATTATTTCAGGGTAGCTTTAAGCCACAAAACCATGTGCTAACAGTCCTTTTGAGGGCAACCAAAGAGGAAGAAGCATAAGTGTGTGACAAGTTATTTGCAAAGGAGAGAATGGAGTATACAGAATGTAACAATGCACTCAAACTGTTGTGTCAGTGTATTCTTTGTAATGACTGCTAATACACTGTGACTCTTCTCAGTCTGACCTTAGTATGGCAAGTGAGGTTTTTTAAAAACAACACACACACACAACGGAACAAAAAAAAATTAAGATCCTGGGGGAAAAAAACAAATCTTGTAGTTTGTAAGTATTTACATACGTTTTTCTGATTGTTTTTTCTTTTTCTGTTGCACTTTATTGTCATATCTTTGCTTCCTCCTTTGATTCGTGTCTACCGGAAATGCAGAGGGGCTTGTGTCAAATAAGATGTATGCTGATAGTAGTGTGGCTACTGGAAGGGTCTTTCATGTCAACAAGTCCAGGGATAGGAACGAGACAACAACATTGACTTGCTGCTTTGTAGGTAGGCTGGGATGACTAAGAGATAGGAATGAGACAAAGACATAAACTTGCTGCTATGAAGATAGGCTGGGATGGCTGGTATGTTAAAGGGATAGAAATCATGCATGCACAAACAAAACGCGTGCGCACACACACAGATAGAGAGAGAGAGAGAGATCTGTTCCCTTTTAGAGATGATGGGAGATTAAGAGATAGGTATCCCACGCAGGCCCCTGCAAACACACAGAGACAAACTTGCTGCATTGTAGGTAATAACAGAAATAAACAGATGCGATACCCTGAGGCCATATTTAGAAAGAAAAGCACACTAGACAGCATACAGTTTGAAAGCCACAAGGACAGTGATGGACATTCTGTGTGGTTTTTATTGGCACAGAAAGGGAGCAGCTGTGGGTTGACTCATTTGCTAGTGATTAGTGATTAGAAAGGATTATCATCACAGCACTCCGGACAGATCCATAGGTGCTCCGATCTCCTCCTCAAAAGCTCCACAAGTGTAAAACGACTGATGATGCCTGTTCTATGTTGGTTAATGAAACGTCTTGTCCCCTTAGTGAAATGTTCATTTCTTGCAGCTCCAGGCTGCACCCCCATGTCCATCAGTCTAGACAGGGATATGGAGTCATGTCCTTTGGCGTGCTCCTCGGTACGGTAAGTGCAGCGCATGGCATTGATAACATCACTTCTGTCCAGTACTGGGCCATCCATATCAGTATCAGCAAGATAGTCTGCACGCTCGTTCCCTTGAACACCCGCATAACCTGGCACAAAGATGAAGGTTAGGGCAGATATTCGTGAAGTGCTTAGTGTTTCAATCCATTCTTGCCTGATAAATCCAGCTTGTATTTTTTTAAGCATATTCATCGAGTCACTAAGAAATCATACGTGTGTGAACTTTTGAGTACCAAGCCATGCTAAAGCCCTTGTTACAGCCATAGTTTCCATTGTAAGGCTACTAGTTGTAACAGCAAAGGCACCATTCATCTCCTTGATGGTTTTCCCCCTTGAGCTTACTGTGAAAGCCCATGCACTTCGCTGGCCCCTTATTACTGACTGGCCCATCTGTGTAAACTATAGCATCACCTTCATCTGTGTTTTCGTCAATCAGTGTTCTGACTAAAGTGTTAACAATGCCAGGAATCTGCCCTCTACAGCTTCCATCAAGTGTGATATGGACTGTAGTATTAATGTTTGGAGAGGGAGGCATAATTATCCATTCCTTTCCAAAATTAATGTCAGTAAGGTGGCAAACATGTTCGATGGCATCCTCAGCACGACCCATCCAGGATTTGCCTCGTTTGAGTCTACTCTTTTTTTGTGGCTTGAATAATTCCTCAAAAAGTGGGTGTCGATCGTCTGATTTCACTTTGAGAAAAGCAACAGCCCTGGATAGCTTGATTCTGTTTTCCATTGTGGGGAAATCCAAGAGGTATCGCATAGATTTACAGGAGGTGTCTCTAGTGCCTCCAAGAATAATGCGCATTGCCTTGTTTTCAATTTTTTTCAGTCTGTTCATCTGTGTGGTGCTGATTGCTATGAAGTTGGAACTGTGATTAACCCATTTACCTGTTTGTCATTGCAAAAGGTGTCAGTATATAATGGACATACATGATCACACATGCCACTCAACAAGGTATTGGCTTTCCGTATTTCAGTTTGCCAGTGTTTATAAATGAAACATTCCAAATTGTCATTTTACAAGCTGCCAGTGAGGCAGTTCTTATATTGTTTAAGGCTTGGGTTGTTATTTTTTTACATTCCATTTTATAAGCAACATGTCTACTTGTTAATGAATATCATAAGTTGTGTTACTTGAAACTTATACGATGCTCATTTGTTTTGATTGAAACTGAACTGCTGAATGAATGCATTGATGACTAATTCAAACAGGGGGAAGGGGAATAACGGGCGGAACAAGAAGACAAATGTTTGAGCAGAAAATGTAGCATTAATTGACTATAAATATGTTGGGTTTCAAATTGCATGAGTCTTGTTGTCATAAAATACTCATAACTGTTTACACAATTCTTTTTGTTTTGTCGGCTTTTTCATGGTGTATCATTGGCTTCTCAGGCTCTTTTATGCTCTCTTGTTGGCTTATTTATTTTGTGTTTAAAGCAGCAGACTCACAAAGCATGCTGAGAAAGACAGAGAAAGGGTACTCTGTGCAGAGTGGCTTTGCTTCAGAGGACTCCGGTAGTTCTCCTTTTAGATCTTTTCTCTTGGGCTTACATGTCTGGGAACATACATGGTGACAGACTGGCTGGTGCTGCACCACTGGGTGATGAATTGATGCATGTGGTCCAGACCCTTGGGAGCAAGTGGACAAGGTAGAAGCACGAATGGAATGACTTTGGTGTGGAGAGAATAGAGCAGCGGGGACTGACCAGGAATCTGGTTGATACTGTTTACTCAGGGGAAAGGCAAGACACATAATCAGACTGTTACTGACACCATCTGCATTGGCACTTTTCGCTGGCTGCTGAAGATGAGAATAAAGCGCTTATGGGAGTGTCCTGAATGCTGTGTTTAAAACTTTTACAATGTATATCCAGTCAACACAACATGACACGACATATAAAAAAACACAATGTACGGTGATCTGTAACTAAAGAATCTAGCATAGAGCAAACAAATACTTCAGCGCTGCAGAGACAAAATTCACAAATAAAAATGAACAACTGCTTAGCTGTCTGAAGTTGATGGTGCACATTCTGTGGAGATGTTATGATGCAAGATAAACTAATATACACTGTAAAAAGTAAAGGACCCTTTTCCCTGCCTTCAGGCGAATTGGGCATATAAGGCTAGACCTGTATTTTATAGAATAATCGGCAGTTGGTGGGTGATGTGGTCAGCATCATGCTGGCTGGGAGCCAAGGTCATTTTTTAAAGAAAAACCTGTTCTGTCAGGACCCGAACCCATGACCTTCAGATCTGTAGGCAAGCATCTAGCTGCTACACCACAGGGACTCCCACTATACATTGTGGCATCAGGAAATATGGAG